AGTCATATATAATATATATATATATATATATATATATATATGTTATATCTGTGTGCTTACTCTATCATAGCATTATTATATTATTAACTATTAGATAATTACCATGATGCTTTCCTTTGCAGGACACACCATGGAGATCGACGAGTCCCAATTCGGGAGAAGAAAGGCTAACCGCGGGAGGGTCCGTCAGGAACAGTGGGTATTAAACGTTCCTGGCGCCCGTTGCCACCAGGGATGCGGCCACGCTTCTGCCCCTCTGCCGACAGCACATACGGTAATATACAGTTTTCATAACTATCATCTATGATTCGTTAAAAATTAAGAAATGTGATTTTGTATAATGTTGTATGTTTATAGTATAGGAGTTTGCCAATTACGTAATATAGTTTGCTACCGTTGTAACTTAGTATTTACATGTTAATCATTTATATATCATAGATCGCGAGATATGATAGGTAAATACACTTTTCTACCGGCTAAACCCGTACTACAGGCCTGTATACGTCTATGGGCTTGACCGTGCGTGCATAATTGCTAATTAATTAGGTTGATTGTGGGTCAATTAACACGAAACTCACAGTGATTATAGCTAAGACATGTATCATTATGCATGTAGAATTCTGGAATTATAACTAGACTCCTTCGCGAGACATGCGTATAATAGCTTATGGGCTTGACCGTGCGTCATTAACAGCTAATTAATTAGGTTAATCGTGGGTCAATTAACTTGAAACTCACAGTGATTATTTCGAAGACATGTATCATTATGCATGTAGAATTCTGGAATTATAACTCGACTCCTTCGCGAGACATGCGTATAATAGCCTATGGGCTTGACCGCGCGTCATTAACAGCTAATTAATTAGGTTAATCGTGGGTCAATTAACTTGAAACTCACAGTGATTATTTCTAAGACATGTATCATTATGCATGCAAAATTCTAGAAACGTATCTCATATAGATCGCGAGATATGATGTGTGCGGGGGGAGGGGGGAGGGGTTAACAGCTGTATACAATGCGCCCCGTACAGACAGTAGAGGCGGGCGCGGGAAGGAGGTTCGGAGTCGGGTGCCGCCATATTGATCGGTAGGAAAGTGTATTTGCGCCTGGATTTGCACCGAAAAGAACTACTCTGAGACCTTCAAGTACACGCGTGCATGTCGAGATCATTTTGATGAATCGGACTACGTTGAGACAACCTAGCTCGTATGGTATGTTTTTTTATTATTATCAGAATCAGTAATCAGTTGCCCTAATGTATCTTCTTTGTATAAGTATATTTCAAATCAACAGATAATGCGAAACAAGCTTGACCAGGCTGCGAGATTAATATCAATACACATTTTCAATATATTAATTAGTTATTACCATTTCTTGGAGGGCAATGGAGCTAATCTGAAACAAATATATATAAAATTATCTCTCTATATATATACATATATAATATATATATATATATAGTGATGTCACGATCATTGATTATACTCGATCATCGGTTGAACAGTGGCTCGAACCAAGCGCTTGGTCATCAAAATCAATAATCGATTTCATCGGAAAAAAAAATAAATTTCAAACTTGAACAAGAAAACTTGGAAAAGTGATGAGAATCAGAGATATCATCGCTACTATACAAGTGATCCTTTATTAACATACATGTATTATACACACAGTAGTAAACAGTGCAAAACAAACAGTAAACAGGTTACATGCACACACGTACATGCGCACGACGTTGCGCACACGCAGGCATTCAACACCCCGAGTAATCGATTGTAACCGATCATCGGTTACTTGGGTCCAACCGATGATCGATTACGAAATTACAACCGATTGACAACACTATATATATATATATAAATATATAATTCTGCTATGGCTTATTTTTCAGGAACTGCATCACCTTTGAGGAAGTTGAAATGCACTGCTGTCTATCACGTTTTTTCTTGGATCAATCTGTGCTCACCCAGTTCTCTGGAGCGGACGGAAAGAGTGAGCAAACGGCAAAGCGTAACTCAAAGGCAGCTCAAGCTGGAGGACATGCAGCGGCTTAATGCCTTATTGGAAATTGGTGCCGATGATAAAGTTGTGGAAAGTACAGTAAAACCACAGGGTAAAATTGTGTACTTGCAACTTTGTTTTGTAATACCATGCGCTTTTAACCAATTGTACAGTAATGCAATCTCAATCCACCGTTTGACCAATCAGGAGTAACTGAGCCAAGTCGTATATAAAGATATAAAGAGATTGCGGGTTCTATCGCCATTCTCTCCCTCCCCCCCCCTCTCTCTCTCTCTCTCTCTCCCTCCCTCTCTCTCTCTATCTTTCTCTTTCTATCTCTCCCTCTTTCTATCTCTCCCTCTCTTCTCTCTGTGTGTGATGTACTCATCTCGGCCGTGCCTTAGGCCGGCTCCTTACTGTGTCACTTTCTATGGTGTTACGAGTCTAACTATATTATAGAGCCGATCCGCGCACTGATGTAAGTGTATTAGTCTGATGTTTCTTCTTTGATTAAACGTGTATGCCGATGCAGAAAGTAATTCATCTCATTTTGTCGAATCTATGGCTTCCTCGTTCGCACCACGTGGCGGTTCAGTCGAAGTCGCAATCCAGTGATCGAATATTAGACCGGTGGTAATGACCGGAACGGTTACTGCGACATTACACAATTAACGGGGATCATCCAAGGGAATGGATAAAGTACGTGTTCGCATATATTGTGATACCAATCGTTACTCGTCGCATTCTCTCACGTACCCCGCACAAGGCTTTCCGCGATACACACCGCAAGGTACTAGAACATTTTCACGATCACGAGCCATCGCGTGCATCGTATCATTTGGGCAGTGATCAGGGATATCAGCGATCTTGTATCGCTTGATATCGTACGTCGGGTGGCATTATACTCCCGACACCGAACGTCAATGAGCGGCGCACACACGATCAACGCGAGGAACATAATCGACACTAATCCAAAAGAATAATAATAACAATCACGCATGTATATCAAAGGAAGCATAGCAGGCAGCAGGCAGGAAGAGGCAGGCAGAAACAAGCAGGATGGAACATGCTGTACCATGCAGGTTAGACAAGCAGGAAACCATCACTGATAACGCCACCCAGAAAGAGAAGCTATTCAGGCTCTTTTGCTTCACTTGGTTCCTGTTATTTCAAATGTAAACAGGTAAATGTAGAAATATGTTACACACTTGATTTTGTGCTGCACCCAAGACTACACTGCTAAGCCATGCCACACATTATAAAAAAGGTGTAGTATGTGTAGTTAGTGCGGATAAGTAATTATGCATCCATGGAAATCCATAGCTGGGAAGACCCCAAACCTACCAACTGATAGCATAGGCACCCGTGGGTCAATGCATAAGGATGTATTTGCAAATATATAAATTATACTGTATTTTTTCAAATTTACATCAGTACCTTGGATGCAAACGATTACAATATTTTCTTGTAAATGATACACTTCAATATTATATCATTTTCGTTTATGAACTGATATTTCAATTCTTGTTTTCCTAGTTTCTCTTGTAGCTGCTACAACACCACTCTGCATTCCGTCTAACAGCCGTGGGCAAACTCCTGTTTGTAGCCAAGAGAGTGCCAGAAAGGCAAAACAGTTAAACAAAACACAAAATGATAGTAAGCTCATCATTTACGATGTGATTAATGTAAACGGTTTATGTTCTTGTTATAAGTGCCCTGTTAACGCTGTTCAATTTAAAACTGGTGGAAGGATCTAATATAATTTATATGCAAGATATAATTTGGGTATGTCGTAGTGTCTTACGTGATTGTTACCTCAAAGTAGCAACACTGTAAATTTCATTTTGTTTGGTATGCATGCAATTGTTTCTAATAATTCAGTCTACAATACAAGTTCAAAGGATATGCTCATCAGCAGACTTTCAGATTAGTGTCCTGATGAAGCTGAATTCCCTAATGGAGATCCAGTCGAAAATGATGGTCCTGCAGAAGAGAATGCTATCCAGATGAGAGACCGGATACCAGAGAAGCGTCGCCTGAGAGGTGTTGATACTGCCCGCTAAGCGCGAATCTTGCGCGCAGTGGCCAACAGCGACCGCGAGAACGTCCTACGAAAGTATCACGCGCTGGAGCTATTGATCCGTGCGCCAAATCGAAAGGCCGGCGCACGGATCAATTGCTGCAGCGAACAGTCTCGAATTTTAGCGGTTCTAATTCACTAGCAACATATGCACACCCATCGCGCAGGCCTAATAGCGATGTTTCACGTGACGTCATAGATCAGGTCACGTGTATTTGTTATGTGTTGTGGTTGGCAGAAGCAAAGCGTGCTGCTTGATATTTACAGATGAATGACCACATGTTCTGATAGAAAGCACTGTTTATGTAGTGCACGTACACGTGCGTGCTGCGTGCGTGCGGGTGCACGTACACTTGCGTGCACGCGTGCGTGTGAACTTACACGTGCGTGCTTGCGCGAGCAGTGAGGGTGCGAGCTTCCCTGACTGAGCCGAGCTGGCTCCGCGCTGTGTATCCTTGCGTCAGGAAGGGGGCAGCAAGCGGCGTGATCATCGTCCTGCGTTGTGTATCCTTGCGTAGACTTGTGACCGAGCTGCGCTACACCCTACATGGTTACCTAGCAGGGCGGGCCAGCAGCTAGAGAGCAGTGGGAGGGTGCGATCTTCCCTGACTGAGCCAAGCTGGCTCTGTGTTGCTTTGGAGCTGAACGACGCAGCTTATACTCTCTAAATGTTAAAGATTGACTATTCAATCTTTCGGATTGAAATTTAGATCTTTACAAGATTCAAGTTAGGGACTAATCCTTACCGATTGAAATTCACTCTTTCAAAAGATTTAAAATATCAACTCTTTCAAAGAGTGAATAAATGACTCTTCCTAGATTGACTATCAACTCTTTATAGATTGAATTTTAACTCTGTAAAGATTGAATTTTAACTCTTTATAGATTGAATTCACTATAAACAAAAACCTTAACAATTAATTACTAAATTTGCACATTTTATTAAAATAGGTTCACAAAGACGTCTTAAAAATTAGACAATAGCACTCTGTCACAAACAATATGATTATAGAAGGTTTAATAATTAAAAATGCCAATAGCAATGTACACATATTATTGAAATAACTTCACAAACACTAATAAGCAATGCATCTGCTCCCATCAAAACCAAAATAATAATTTTCAAACTGTTCACAAATACTTTGATATAACAGCTTCAATAATGAAACATGCCAATAGCAAATAAATGCAATGTACACATATTACTAAAAAAACTGTTCACCCTAACACAAACTTTAACATAAAATGATAAAGTCATGGACACTTGTTAATTCTGTATTAAATCTTATTAAAAATTCTAACAGCATAGCAACTATTGCAATTACGACAGACCAGCACCAGTAACTGCCGCTTTCCGAAAGATGACATTTAATTATGCTATTCTGCGTGTTGGATTGTATGGCGATGTTTATATATAAATATTAATATTGTATAACGGCAACATGTCATTAACTAATTTTTATTCATCTGAACGGCTCTTTTCCTATCGGTCAACAGGTAAATGAAATTGTTAGGTACCGTTGACGTCGCACTGCGTGGGTAAATTATAGAAAAGTTTTTTTAAACATATATAATAATCGTGAAATCAATAAATGTGTAAAATGTATCAGTTAGGAAACAGGTTTTTGTATATACTAGAAAGAAAGAAGTTTCATTTACCTCAACACAATGGCGCAATTAAACTAGTAATATAGTCTGTATGTCACGTACTACGAAAATACGAAAAAAATGCTCACTTTTTGGCATTAAAAGTAAGTGATATCAAAACTATAAATCCTGTGACTCTTACCGAATAACAAGTAACAATTAACAAGTATAATATTTATCAACACGAAACGTGGGGAAAGTATGCACAAAAAGATATGGATCTCATTTGAGAGAATGCGCCTATTCAAGTATATCACATACTTAATGCGAAGTCAAGTAATAATATGCACAAAGAAGTTTAGCAAACATAGCGCATCACGCATGCAACAAACATCAGAATATCACGCACGCACGGAAAATTCTACGTTTCTATACAGAGAATCTTTTTCTATTTAAATCACGCCTCATATTTCATACTACTCATCACTAAAAAAATCCCATCTGCCACAGTTAGGTATCCATAAACCTAATAATGTCGTATACGTAGAACCTATTTTCAACCGATTTCTTAAACATTATACTGTTGCATTTAGCTTCCTACTTTTTCTCATTCTCGTTTTCGAATAACAAGTTTTCTAAGCCGCTTAAAAGAAAATAGAGCTGCTCAGCTGCTTTTAAAATTTTGTTGACAACAAAAATTCAATTGGATCGATATTTATTCTACTAGCATCGGGATTTTTGATTGGGATAAGAGTATTATAATATGGATTGTGTTTGATAGTACTTAATTTTGACGCCAAGAATGCAATTACTGCTTTGAAATTTGACTCCAAATTTGACATGCAGCAGGCCCTAAATCTGAAAATTTAGTCCTCTTGTAGATGAGAGATATGGCCGAGTAGTAATTTGCCAAGGCTGGAGGAAAATGAACATTAAACACAAAAAACGATTTAAACAATCTATCAAATGCTTCCACAATTGAAGTACCACCAGGTATGGTGGCAGAATCCAACACTATAAAATACTGCTGAGGACTGTGAGCAGGTCCAATGGAAATAAGATGTGGCTGGCTATACCGGCAATCTTTTGTTGCTGTGATTGTAGTGATGTCTGTGCCAACCTACAAATATCCAAATATTTTATATTTGTAACATTATTAAACCGATAATAAGTTCACCATGCCACGTATTTTGAAGCATAATAAATTACTGCTAATATCTTACCGGCCAATTCTGAATGAGAAAGGACAGAGCATCAGTTTTGTTGAGCGCACAATATCCTTTTGATGATTTTTTTCGGAATGAATTGAATGGCATCAAAAATGCCATTGTAAGAAGAGCACACAAGTCATCTGAAAATGTACATAGTAAGAAATGGTTCATTTTTAAGGTTCAAGTTAAAATCATCGATTTTTAACGAAGTGTTATACAGACAGGAAAACAAAAAAAGTGATATAGTACTCACCATCTCCATTCTTATGCCCAGATAGCATAAGATTAAGTTGAGCAGAGTTCTGAGCTTTTGCAACCATTAAAACTTTATGTGTGAAGTTTGGATGCCAATTTCTAATAAACTCGTCCCCAGTTCCTGGATACAGCATGTCGTACTCCAAATTTATCTGCATAAATAAACAAGTCAGCAGGTAAGTATTGACACTAGAACGAAATAAACTAGGTGTTATGAAAAGAAAGTGTACAAAGTTTCAAAATCATCTATATTCATGTGTCCAGCTGATGTCAGATAACTTTTGAAAACATCAATCATAAATAATTACATAAATATAATTGTAAAATAATCACCAAATCTGGCATGTCTCTGATTCTGGGATACTGGTCGAGAATCTGCGTGACTGTGGGAGAGGTGTCTGCGATATAGAGTCTCCTGTACTCGTGGGTTTCCTTGAAAAGATTTCGGATTTTGCTGATATTTTCTCTTGTGGATACAGTGTATTTCATACACTCAACCTGCAACATAAAAAATACATACATGTAAACTGGCAATTTCACTGAATCAGACAACAGGCAAAATATGTATTCTATTAGAGGTTATCATTCAGTGAAATTAAGACTTGAAAATCACAAGCCATTCGGGCCAGTGCAATAGTCTTTTACTGGCCCGAACCCCTTTTCACTGGCCCAAAAGGCAAATGGTGAAAAATGAAACACTTTATAATGCTGTGGTATATATTAAAGAGACAACCAAAAAAGTGACATGATCACAAAATGGAAGCCCCCAGTGTTGAAAACATGTCAACGTCGAACGCATCGTATATTTTGATAAATATTCACAAATTTGCCTAGGAAAATTCTACAAGCCAGTCGGACTTGTGTTCTGGTTAATTTCACTGGCCCGACCAATTTTTTACTGGCCTCGGGCCATCGGACCACCGTTAATTTCGAAGACTGGATTATAATACATCATTCCAAAATTCTATGTTTTATTCACCTTTTCTTCAGAATCTGGTGGAAGACTAGATCTCTGCGGTAACCGATATTCAATAAACCCCTTCCCTTTATGATACCAGTGTGCCTAAAATATAGGAATAAATTATAATATTGAAAAACTGTGCTGTAATTTCAGCTGAATTTATTTTTATTTACTTGTCTATGCTTTAATTTAACGGATTCTGCCGTCTTATTGATGGCAAGATAATTTTTGGATGTACGCTATATATTATTGTATGAAGTGTCTATGTGCCCGGTCAGTGCACATTTCTCTAAATGGTAACCAATGCCAGGAAGTTTTCCAACAAAAAATTTGTAAAAAAAATACTTAGTTTTGTTATTTTTATGATACGGTTAAAATGACCACGCATAAATTTCACACAGTGGTTTTCATCTATATACTAGCTCTGACGCTGCACTTGGAAGCGTCCATTATATATATTTATCTGATATTTACATGTTCCAAACCAATAGCATCGCCTGGTACTTTGGCTGCCAATGCAGGAAATGCCTTTACTACAGCTGCTGCCAAAGCTTCTTTCTGTTCTGATGAAGGGTAACTAGAAGTACAATAAAGGATTTGCACCAACAGAAAAAATGAATGGTTATTGGTGCATGTATATGTAATGAAAACCCATTTGATTTTGAGATAAAACATAATACATGTATCCAATACTTACAGATGGCCACATTTCTGCACCAATTGCCGCACTACTTGCCGAACCACTGCCTTCCTGTCACCCTCAGAAACAGGCTCATTTGCCTCTGCCGCATTATCCAGTCGTTCCGGAATGTCTGAATGATCAGCGGATGCTACTAATACGTCTCGAACATCAAACTGCAATTATAATAATATATGCTCATGCACAGCTAAAACATTTTAAGTGTAGGCAGTATGTGCACACCTGAAATGTTCATTATACTGCTGCAATAAAAGAACCATAAGTTGCATTCATTGTAAAGAAATTCCTGGACAGTAAGCTTTCAGAACCTACTTCTATAACAGTTCCTACACTTGAAGTTGAACCCCGACTTGAACCCCGACTTGAACGCTGACTCTGCAAGAGAAGTTCAAACAATACTTAAATACTCAAACTTTAAATAGCCAACACCTGTACATTTTGAAATTTCAAAGCACTTTGATTGTATCAACACTTAATCATTGCTAAGTTTAAGCTGATGAGTTAGGGTGGTGAGCACCATGTATTGACCTAACACAAAATGTACCTGTTTGGGTATAGGTGACGACGTTCTCACTGTCACAGGGCTTTGGTTTGGAGCAATAACTATGGATGATGTATCATCACTGTCCAATGATTTATCTTTTTCAAACTGAAAAAAAGTAGTAGAATTGCTAATTATTTCGCTCAAGACAGTTTGACGCAGCTGTTGTCATGTTTACAACTAACTAAACTGAGTACAACAACAGTGTTTAGGGCCTACACTATTATTCAAAATACTTTTACTGTTTTAGTACGTTCTAATACCAGAAGTATACATATTATAAAGGTTTCCTAGATTCATTCAAGCAGTACAACTAATTTTTTAATATAAATAATAAACTACAATGCGATGCACCCACCATGTAGTTTTCCGAATCTAGTAGTGTCAAGTATGTCACAGTAGGATCACTGTTAAGCCCAGAACTAGTAGATGGTGCTGTAGCATCTTGGCTTGACTGGAGAGACTTCACAGCCAGTGTAATCCGACGCCTATCCCCAAATGCTACCACACCCATCTCTTTAAGGTCAACTTCATTTATTGAAGCCAGCACTTCCATGTCAACTCTATTTTCTGCAATATGAGTAAAACTAACTGCATTAGTCAGAGTTCATAAGGTTAGTCAAATAATGTCATTACTCCAACATTTAGGCTCCTATTCCTTAGCATAATTACCTATAAACATTATATCTGGGTGCAATGTAGATTCTTGAGTCACCTTCATAGGGAACTTATTACTATGAACTATCGAACAGCACCTATAGCCTAAACTACTGAATCGATTAGCCGACTACGGCTAAGCCGCCCTCCAGATTACCCAATATTTTGACTATTTATTATTTATTTATTTATTTGAAAATTTTACATCAATTTAAACTTTACTAAGTCCGCAGACCTGTTTACAGAAAGTTGATACAGATGGGGGCAAGCAATACAAACAATTAAACAAATAACATTTATCACATAATACAAAATATATATGACTACCATGTTACACAAAATCATGCTTATAGTTATATTCTAATATTTACAGTATATTTACACAGAAATGGAAGATGACTGAAACAATAGAAGTCACAGGTGAAATAATTTACAGCGTTTCAACATAGTAATAATATGGTACTATTTATCATAAATTCAATGATTTAACATAATATGTAATGACTGTTGATTAATGTTGATTAATGTTATTGTAAGTTGCGAAATTAGATATTTAGTTAGCCTACTAGAAATGTGTCTATATTTGGCTAGGTGAAATCAAAAGCAATCTCCAGTTGTCAAAAATGCTCTATAGCTCTTTTTAAAAACTGGCAGCGAGGTGAAGATCTGATATAAGTGCGGATGCTGTTCCAAAGTTTGATGCAGTGATATCTGTATGAGTTTAGGCCATATTAATTTGATGATTGAGGAATGCATGTGGAAGTTATTGCTTTCATTTGATCTGCATCATCTGGGTGGGTGGTGTTGCTGAAAGATTTCTAAGTATTTTACTTAAGACAAAATTGCAATAATTTACGAATTACTTACGAATTGGATTTGCGGGTGTTGCTGAAAGGTGATTGCATAAGTACATACTTAAGTAATGTAAGAAATACACGCTAGTCCGTTGCTAGGCGGTTGTCATCTGATATTAGACGTTAGATGGCGCTGGTTAGAAATAGAATAACACTCTATTTACGTAACTAAATACGTAGGTAGCCTAACTAATTGTCTNTAAAGGGTTGACCAAATTCTCTAAAGGCAGATAACAACTGATGCACATTATCAGACTCCATATCAAGGTTTTCACTTCTCAATAGCTGTTTGACTTTATCCTCTAAAGTTGTTAAAGTGAGATTCATTATTTCTTTGCACCCACTGATAACATCAAATACTGTTTTATATGTCACCGAAGAAGAACTCTTCATCTTCATAACAAAGCATGAGGCCAGTTGATGCTGCTCTTCTACAGTGAACTCAGCTGCATTATCAGGTACTTCTCTATCTCGATCTTCTTGTACCGGTACTTCGAGTTCCATATCCAAATCGGGCTCAAAATTTCCCTCGTCATCCTGCTGGTTCGGTAGAATTGGTATATTCTGCTGTTGTGAATGTTGTCGTTTTATATGTTTCAGTAGTGAATTCATTAGATAGAATGTTCTCATGCAACCATCTTGAGCACATGTCATCTGCTGGCGGCCTACCCCATAAATACCGTGAGTGCTCCGAAAGTGTGTGGCTAGACTTCGGGTTTCAGGACCACAATCACAGTGGCATATATAACATATTAATCCCATGTCAGAATACTATGGTAAGTTTAAACCCAGCAATTGTCAGCTAAATGTCTTTTCT